TCTATGTAGTTCCCTGCTACTTTCTAGCTGTGTGGCTTTAGCTATTTAAATTTTTCCGTGGGTCAGTTTTCTGAACTCGAAGTGGGGCTAATAGCATCTAAGTCAGAGGTTTACTGTAAGAATGAAAGTTAATATGGGTAAGGAACTGAGAACAGTACCTGGTGCACAGTAAGCACTTACTGAAAGTTAGCCCCAGTTAGTGTTATTATCAGACTACACTCATGGAGGATACATAGGTAAATCAGATGTAGGCTATTTACCTTTAAAGGACTTGCAGACTGGCAAGGTGATGAGTTAGGTATCCACATACAATACATGTACTTGTAGGAATAACACAGGCAGATGAAGGAATTTGTGCCCTTTTCCCCAAGCTCTGTCCTTCTCTCTACTGTCTTACTAGCTCTTTCCAGAGTAGGAAAAAATGTGGTCGGAACTTGATCAGAAATGGGCCACATTTTACGAGTGGTCAGATCACTGTGCCTTAAAGATAAGCAACCATGAATATGTTCCCTCTTTTCCTTCCAAGGCAGAGTATGTTTCTAGGGACAAGTCAGTTACCACCCTCCATATGGCTGGCTAGTAAGGCTTCAGGGCATGCAAATCTTCATGGCAGGGACAAGAGAGCAGGAGGCTTTACTTGGGACTTAACACTAAGCCAAAAACACCCAACTCAGTTTTTTCAAAGAACCCTCAGAATAGAATATTTGCCCGTAATCGTGAAGAAATCTATTTTACATTCTGTTGTTCTGAATATATAGATTCTGTGTTAAGAACCTCAAGAGGAAGAGGTATGAATGGTAGGATTCGAGCACCAGGACCCTATCCAAACTCTTGATCATAGAGAGCAAAAAGGGTGAATGGCAGGGTTAGATTGTATGCTGCAAGAGAATATCCTCCCTTAATGGCAGGGGATGGGGAGAAGGAGAAAATCAGGGAAGGCTCCCTGAAAGAGGTAGCAGTGGTGTTAGGAATATAAAGATGAGTCGTATAGGCTAAGACAGGGGAAACCTTTAAGAATTCTAAAATCTAGCACAGTTAAGCGGTGCTGGGTGGGTCAGTTAAGTGTCCGACTCTTGATTTTAACTCAGGTCATGATCTCAGGGTCATGAGATGGAGCCCTGCAATGAGCTCCTTGCTGGGCATGGAACATGCTTAAGAATCTCTCTCTCGGGGCGCCTGGGTGGCTCAGATGGTTGAGCGTCTGCCTTCGGCTCAGGTCATGATCCCCGGACCCTCCCGGGATCGAGTCCGACATCGGGCTCCCTGCTGGGCGGGGAGCCTGCTTCTCCCTCTGCCTCTGCCTCTCTCTCTCTCTGACTCTCATGAATAAATAAATAAAACATTAAAAAAAAAAAAAGATTCTCTCTCTCTCCCTCTGCCCATCCCCCTACCCCTGCACTCTCTTTCCAAAAAACAAAACAAAACAAAACAACCCTAGCATAGTTAAACCAAAACAGAAATTTTAAAAAATGAACATGTTTAGGGGGCAATTAAAGATACCAAATTAGCCAGTTTTCAGCGCTGGCTTTGGGAGTCTTGGGCTATCAGGACACTGGAGAAATGGTTTCTAGACAGGGTGGGTAATAGTCAGTGGGCTCTCTGGAAGTTTCAGTGAATTCTCCATCTCCACCAGTTTAATTCCCTTCTTTGAATTTACATACCACCAGGCCATCTTTTCATTGAAAACTCAGTTATTGGCTACTTTGAACCTGAGAAGGGGGTCCCCTGCATAGAGGAAACACGTAGTCCAATCACTAGAAAAGACAGCCCCATTTGTACTGATAGAAAGAAAGAGTAGTTTTTAGGCTGCCTGGGTGGCTCAGTCAGTTAAGCATCTGCCTTCAGCTCAGGTCATGATCTCAGGGTCCTGGGATCGAGCCCCAAGTCAGGCTCCCTGCTCAGCGGAGAGTCTGCTTCTCCCTCTGCCCCTCCCCACCCCTCGTGCTCTCATGCTCTCTCTCTGTCTCAAATGAATAAAATCTTAAAAAAAAAAAAAAAGAAGAAGAAGGGGGGGGGGGCGCCTGAGTGGCTCCATTGGTTGAGCATCGGCCTTCAGCTCAGGTCATGATCCCAGGGTCCTGGGATTGAGCCCTGCATTGGGCTCCCTGCTCAGCAGGGAGCCTGCTTCTCTCTCTGCCTGCCACTCCCCCTGCTTGTGCTCACTCTCTCTGTCAAATAAATAAGAATCTTAAAAAAAAAAAGAAGAAGAAAGAGTAGTTTAAAGGCACTATTTCTACCTCTTCACTTGCCACTTCCTTCAAAATCAATCAGGGTCCCTCCTTTCTCCACTGAATTTATCCCAGCAAAATTCACCTCTCATTTCCCAAATCCATCAACTATTTCAAGCCTTCATGCTACTGGGCCTCACCATGGCTTGGGACACGGCATCCTGACACCCTCTTTCCCTTCACTTTCTGGGTTAGAACATCCACCGGGGACGTTTCCTGGGTCTGCTTCTCCCGCTCTGGCATACGCTTTAAGGCAATATCACTGATTATTTCTAAGGATCTTGAGAAAATCTCTATTCAGGATCCACAGGGCCAAAACCCAGGCCCAGGGTAATCTAGTAGAGGTGCTGCCCCAGAGAGGTTCAGCCCACAAACATCCCCACTAGCACCCACCAGCCGGGTGTAGGGTCTGCATTTGAAGATAGTGAAAGTGCTGGAGAGAAGAGAAGAAATGACAGTGAAATCCCCGGATAAGCAAAGGGGAGGAGTAAGAGAGGACGGTAAAAGGAAGCTGGGCCAAAGAGAAAATTCCACATAAAGGAGTTGAAGCTTCATTCAGTGAGCAGGTTGGAACCATCATGGATTTCTGGGGGTTAGAGCTGAGCCTCCGGCAGCTGCATGTGCAGACCAGGTGAGAGGGGCAAGCAGACAAACCAGGGATTTGTACACACATTACATGCCCTGTTGCCCTGTGGGGTCACCTCACTGCAATGCCCTCCCTCTTCTGTCTCATCAAAGTCTTTCATACTTCCTAGCTCAACTCTATAAAGCCTCCCTGATGGCTTCAGCCCCCTGACGTCCATGTTCATAAAACCGTCTGGACTCTACAACTAACTTCTTTCTCTCTGTATATACAAACGGACATACAGCATCTGACCTTGTTCTCCTCCGTCTGTTAGGGACATGTGCCCAATGAGAATATGAGCTCTCGGGTGCCATGCGTGAGTCACCTGGCAGCGTGCCGGGCTGACGACGAACAGAATAAATATGTATTAGATCCTTTCAGAAACAGATGGGCTTTGAAATGTTTGTTCGTTTCCAGGGTGATAGATGCTGCTTCTGCTTGTCTGTCCCCGCCCCCTCCCCCACCCCTCCTCCTCCCTGGCCACATGGCTGCCCAGCTAGAAGACTACATTTCCCAGCCTCTCTTGCAGCTAGGTCATGTCATGTTCTTGCCAAAGGAATGTGAACAGCAGTGACCTGTGTGACCAGGCTAAAAGGTAATGGCCTGTCCTGAATTTCCTCTTCTCCTTTCCTCAAGCTTGAACAAAGACATGCAAGCAACCATCCTCTACCACACCAATGAGGACAAAACTTTACTGGATGGTGGAACAAGATGGACTGACCTTGTGGAACAGAGCTGTCCCAACTGCCCAGACCAGTCAGACTCATGTGAGAAAAAAAAATAAAGTACCTTATTTAAGCCACTATACGTAGGGGTCTCTGTTTCAGTGCTTGAACCTCTACCCAACTAATATATCTCCCCAAATCCATCCTTTCCATTTCAATACAATAATTCCAATTTTTTAACTGGGCATATTGCCTCTCAGCTAAAAAGCTAACTTTCCCAGCCTCCTTTGCATTTACATGTGGCCACATTGTGGCCAAGGAAGTATAATTGTTATATGGGACTTCTGAGTAATCTCCTTATGAAGCAGTTAGTGACCTTCCCACTTTCTCTTTCCCACTGTCTGGACAGTGAATGTAGTGGCTGGAGATCAAGTAGCCATTTTGGACCACGCAGTTACATGCTAAGAATTGTGAAGAAGCAGAAGACCAGGATCCAGGGTCTCTGATGAGCATGGAGCCTCCAATACCAGCCCAGACTCCCTACTTATAGATTTCTTTACATGACAGAGAAACTTCTATCTTATTTAAGCTATTAATGTGTGCTTGTTGTATACAGCTAAACCGAATCCTTCATAACAAATATACCCAGCATCATATCAGTTGCGGGGACATTTCAACCCCAATTTAATTCTTGCATATTCCTCTTAGCATAAAAATAGGAAAAATCACTACTTTCCAAACTGCAGAAGAAGCCAGTTTCTATGCCTTCTACAACAGAATCAGCTTGGCTTTTGTGCTCACTAAAGCAACTCCACAGGGAGGTCTGTAGCTGAAAAATCCCTAGTCTCTGGGCCCAGCAGCCCCCTACAATGGTGGCTCACAGTAGGGAACTCTAACATGGGTGATAACAGGAAAGAACTGGGATGGAAGTGGGCACGGAAATATGCCCCAGCTCTGATGGCAGGCAATCAGCAAGAACAGAACGCTGAAAGGTTAGGGCACTAGTCACTGTAAATTTAGGTCAATACAGACAGGGAGAAAATAAGACAGCATCACTTTAAATTGTGATTTCTGCTCCCCACCAGCTTCCCTGATCTCACACACCCCAGGCCAGATGGCGGCCTCCTCCCCTAGCACCCGCTACCCCAACCCCGGACAGGGAGAGTGGAGGCCAGACGCCAAGAACTGGGGGAGCCTAGGCTCAGCCCCACCTGTCCGCAGCCTCCCAGGGCTCGGCTGACCACCTCCTTCTCCTGGCCTCAGTCTCCCTACCTGTAAAGCGGGCGGCGGGTGGAAGGCGCTGACAGCTCTCCGGGTGCCTCCTGCGGGCCGGCGGGGGTCTGAGCAGTGTGCTCCCCATCCCAGTCCCTCGGTCCCAGAGCTACCTCCATTGGCCTCCTTACCAAACCGCCCCTCCGGCCCTGCTCCCGCGGCCGCCTCGGTCGCCCACCCCCACCCCGCGTCTCCCTCTCGCAGCCTCACCCTCCTCCGACAGGTAGCGCAGGTCGTAGAACTCCCCGGCGAACGTGCCGTAGGAAGAGTCGTGGCGCGGCACCGCCTCGTCGGCGCCCGCGTCCCCCCGC